CTCCTCTCCGATGAAAGTAAGACTCCCGTCTATGTTTTAAATATATCCCAGTGGAAAGAATTTGTGTTTGTGTCTCTTGCCATCTGAGGTCATGTGCACTGTTTTCTTCTTTTAGGTGGAAGTTCCTCGAGGTGCCAGCATTACCTCAGTATCATGTGGCAGCGATGGCACCTTCTTTCTAACAGAGATGGGCAAAGTGTTGGCATGTGGAAACAATGATTTCAACAAGCTGGGGTTGAACCAGGGCATCTCTGGTATCAAAAACCACCCAGGAGAGGTAATAGGTTGTACCTGCGACTCTGTAGCAAAAGGCTCAAGCTGATGCAAATGTGTTTATGAACTTTCTTTCTTTTATCATTACTTCTTAGGCTTACCAGGGGATACCATACATCACCACTCTCACCTTGGTCAAACAGCTGTCCCGCTTCAAAATCCAAGTCATAGCTCCTGGGAAGACCCATACAGCTGCCATTGATGGTATGGCAGATGCCCAAATGTGGAATGTCTTACACTTTTAAACTGTTTTTTTTTTTTTTACTATTTGTTTACTCTGGCATTCCAGAACGAGGTCGTCTGATCACTTTTGGTTGCAACAAGTACGGGCAGCTAGGTGTGAAAGACTTCAAGAGGCACCAAGGTGTCCAGGTCCTTGTTGGGCCATTTGGAGGGAAGAGTGTAAGCAAAGTGTCTTGTGGAGATGGATTCACCATCGCAGCCACTGAAGGTAAGAAAAGTCTCCTGGACAAAATATGGTAGCTGCCATCTGTTAAGGTTTTATGTCAAACTTTGTGACCTTGGATCAGATTATTGGTTTACCAGTGATCTGCTTTTTCCCTTTGCAGACAACCAGATCTTTGCATGGGGAAATGCAGGAAATGGGAGACTTGGAATGCCTCCAGATAAAGGATTTGGTTCCGAGGTTTGCCCTGCCATGCCAAGACCAATATTTGGCTCTCTTCACCATGTACCCGACCTCTCCTGTCGTGGCTGGCATACTATTATCATAATGGGTAAGTTTTTGGAAACACTTCTCTGACAAAATAAATCAAAACAAAAGAATAACTTCTTTTCTTTTTTTTCTATTTTCTAGAAAAAGTGCTCAACTCGAAAACCATTCGTTCAAACAGCAGTGGAATATCAATTGGTATGCCTTCTAGTCACCATCAAACAGATCTTTGGACTGCCCTAATGGCTCTGTATGATTGTGTCTACATTAAGGGCTTGGTCAGGAGGCGTCGACGTCAATGGAGGACATGGACGTAGAGCCTGGATTGGAAACAGAATGTCGTGACGGTAGTCTTGGGGGAACTCGAGAAGTAAACACAGAGGACCTCCTGGAGGCACCAATGATGACATTTGGAAACCAAACCGGGGACAGTTCTTGTCCTCTGTGGCTTAGAAAGGTTTGCTATAGAGCAGCACCAATCACATGACATCTTTCAGATATTTTTTTCCTAGCCTTAATGCTAGGAATACATTTATTCATTGTAGTAGATGCATGGTCATATAATACTACAATCGGGCAGCTGTTATGAAGCAAGGTTATACTTGCAAATTAAAAGTAAGGCAAAAGGATAAAAGGTTTTACATTTCAAACTGTCCATTGTCATATATTAGCAATTAGCTCAGTTAGCTGTACTAACACAGGAGTCGCAATATGAAATCTCAAGGGAATGTATCATAGATACTTTCCACATTCAGGATATTCCACGACAGGCAGAAGATGAAAGCTCAAAACAATGTCGTCCGTTCAACCTTCCTATTATTTGCTGTAAGTCTTGCTCTCGCTCACTCTTCAGCAGCTTAAATGAACTACAAATATGTCTTGACCTGTCACAGAAAATATAGTTTTCTTTCAGGTAGTTTTTATTTTTAAATACCTCAACACATAAATGCTGTTCTTAGTAGCACAACCAATAGCGCTTGCTTTTGGTGGATTTGTCAATCAAAACAGGATGGGAATTTTGAGTTTCGGTGTAACCAGACTCGAATATCCAGGTCTAATTACTCAAAATATCGTCTTATATCAACAGCATTTTTTTTTCTTATTTCCAGTTTGTACAAGACTTATAAAGAAAATAAAAGCTGTATGTTGTTCTTGCCCAATAGGAACTTGAGGATGCAGAGTTTATCCCAATGCCAGATGAGTCTGAACAGTCTGATCAAGGCCAGCTCGCCTCCTTTTCTAAAAGTGCAACTCGGCCGTATGAAGAGCTGAAAGAGCTCACAGCAGCAGCAGAAGCTGTTACCAACGAGGTACGATCAGTGGTAAAATACCCTCTCATTTTTATTAGTCCTATTTTTTTTTTTTATTTGAACAAAACCATGATTTGTTTGTTCAGAATTCTGCTTTTGTAATGGTTCAAATCTGAAGATTATTTTCTGGCCCTGCAGACAAGACGGAAGAGCTACGACAAAGTAAAATGTTTGGAAGGAGGCACAAAGGGAGAATATGGTGCCTGCTGCAAAGCCAGCAGTGAGGTGGTTCAGGTAGAAGATTCACTCACTCATCAGTGCAAGTCATAATCTTTTAATTCACCCCAAAATATGGATGACAATTCAACACATTTTACAGCTGAAAGAAACACTCGCCCATCAAGAGAAGAGGATCGAGGTGCTTGAGAAACAGGTACATTTTTTTTTCTCCATCACAATTTTTACAAGCTACAGTTGCATCTAAATTAGATATACTGTCAAAATTCATAATTGTTTGTGTTTGCGAAACAAATTACAGAGAAACATTTTAAATGGATAAATAAAAATAATCCAAATTCACAACTAAAGCCTCCTTTCACAAACCACTGCAGTTAAAATGATTCAAACTCAGTGAGGAACACGTCTGCAAATCAGATTTGGTCTCGGCACACCTGATGCAATCTAGGGCTTTATTAGTTTCAGGTGTGTTTGACATGGAATATCTCAAATATCTGGACTGCCATATATCTAACGTTGTTTCACTGCATGCTAGAAATATGGCAAAGACAAAAAAAAAAGTCACTAACTGCTGGGACAAACATGATAAACCATAAAACACTAGCAGAAGCATAGTATGCAATTATTAGTGGATAGTTTGCTAATTCAAAAGTGAAGGAACATTTTTTGCATCTGGAGATGGCAGAGAGAAAATCACAATGACAGTGTGCTCTAGTAAGTACTGAAGATGCTTAGCATGAGGAAGTTGAATTCCCAGAATTGATTACTTATTAAGTTGCATTTTCCATTAATTTTTTGTAATATTAGTTCTCTTGAGATAATTTGCATGTGCTTCCCAGTACTAGTTCATGAATAAACCTAACAATATTGAAGTCCAGTTGTATATTTTTTCCCTTTCAGATCAAGGAGCAGCAGAAGGAAAATGAACGGCTTTGGGCAGCAATCAACCGCTCCACGCTGCAGGAAAAAGAGCGAGACAGAAACGGAAACCGTCGTTCTGAACCAATGTCAAGCAAAGGAGGAAGAAGATCTGGATTCACAAATCACGGCGGCAGATCAGCTGGAGCCAGCGTGTGAGGTTAAAACCAGGCACATGATGATACAGTTTTACATGATGTAATGTGTATTACATGCACACCTGTCTTCTCTGGGGTGTATTGATCCAGCTTGTTTCGGCAGCCTGAAATGTGTTGGCTGGATTCAACATGAACCACCAAAGCTTAATATCTGAGACAATCTGACAGGGTTGTCAGGAGGTCTGGATGTCAGCTCTGCCTCTGAACGGCTTCTGCACCGAGTCTCCAGTTAGTTGGGACTCAAATATTTGTGTTTATTCACATAACAGTGAAGACCAGCTCCTGCAACTGTTTGCAAATGGATCCCACTTGAGAAGGTGGGCAGCTTGTGTGAGCTCAGGACTTTATTATAAATCACATTTTTTTCACTGAGTGGATTATCTGCAGTGGTCTTAACAATATAGCCTCTTTAGATATATGCATATTTAACATCTTGTCTTTCACAATTAGATATATATTACTTAAAAACTTGCATGTTCTGTTTAAAAAAAAGAATTGTGTGAAAACACAATAAAACTACTGATTTATTTTTGTAACACATTTATGCCTCTTGAGTTCTTAGATTCAGCATGTGTCTGTTTACTTTGGGAGTTTTGAACACTTGAACAGTTTCTCTGAGCTTTATTATATGTCGTCCTTATAACATTTAAGTTGCTCTTGACCCTGCAAGACATTTTCCTTTGTTGCTTTTTTAGGATATTTTCCTTGTGTACTTTCTGGATATGTATTGTACCCTTTTCTGCATCATTTATAAAAGAAGAACTGTTTAGTTGGGTTCTGTATGCTATTTGATTTTATTTGGGGAAGTTTGGGTTTGCTTTTGACATGTATGTACAGTAGGTCCACCCTCCATTTCCTCTGGAGATGGAAGATTTTCATCCGTTTGCAGGTGATTCCTCAGATCTTTTGGGATCACCGTCTTGATGTAGATTGAATCATTTTACCACCTAGACTTTGTTTTTTTTTCTATTGTCATTTTCTATTCTTTTAAACAGCTAACAGTATCGCTTTGCTTAGTAAAATATTGTCCTATTAATGCACAGGACAGTGTATTTTGTACCTTTCTAAGTTTACTTCTATTTCTACAGCAGATGTGTAGAATTTTTCAATTCATAAAATGCCTTTTTTTCCTTGTGTTTGTGTTTACTTTGAGCACTTTATCTCATATTCTTTTGAATTTCTAAGGGCATATTTTGTTATAAAACTTATGACCATGACTGTTTCTTTGATTTCAAAGTTAATAAATCCCAACTTGTGGGGTTGTGAGCTGTCTGCAGTGTGCACTTGTGGTATATCTGTGCAGTAAACTGCAGCAACCCAATGAATTTAGAAAGTTTGCAGATATCACAATACTGTGCCTTTGGTGAGCTGTTTTATTTGGCTGTTTTAGTCTTTAGTGTTCTGTTATTGCTTCTGTCCACTTATATTTCATCATGACTGTTTCTTTTGTTTTGTGTACAAGTCAGAAATAAATAAATAAATAAAAGCTGCTTAAAATGGTAAAAATGTATTTTTGTACAGGAACTTTTTTTAGAAGACAATTTGCAATCACATGAGATGAGAGGGGTCATTTGATAGCAGAAAATCTGAAGGTCCATGTCTTATTCGGGTCATCTTGGCCTTTTCTTTACAGCTTGGTGTCGACCCCTGCAGAGGTCACACATCTTTCCGTGTGATATTGTAATTTCTTCCTCTTAACCTAAAAAAAAAAACAACATATCTTTTTAAGTGCCATTTACAGTATTTACATTAAACATTTGCAATCACACTTAGACTTTATGAATGATCAAATCAATGACAGAATGCTGCTTTAATTAGAGCACCTCTTCTTGGTGCATTCATTTATTTTTGAAAACTTCTCAGTGGACTTGAAATAACATGGATGATGTGCCTCACCACGTTTCCTCTAGTTCTTCAATCTTGGGTATTTAATGGAATGCTGAATCGACTTTTATTTTTTTAATAAGATTGACCAATATTCCAGTCCTTTTTTCTGCTTATTTCATGAGACACTTCCAGTGGTCTCTATGGCATATATACATGTAACCCATGTCCTATATACCTCTGTGTGTAATGGCTCTTTGCTTCAAAAATCCCCCTTAAACTCTTGAATTATCTGAGACTGAATTCTGAGGTTTCATTATCTGTAAGCGCTAATCATCATAATAGCAATAAATAATGGTTTGAAACATATCACTGTATGTGCAACAATTCTTCATATGAGTTTAATTTACTGAAATTTGATAAAAACTTTTTCACAATATATTTCTTAGATACACCTGTATGTAATGACATTTCAATTGGTTGAACTATTGCCTTATATACAATATGATTTAAACTTGAAGTGAAAGTATTGAAACAGAGATGGACCTGCAATTAAAAACCTTAACTTTTAAACATATGCTTAAATTAGTACTAGAAATTTCTTGAGCACCGGAGGATTTTTACCCTGGTACCTTAGGAGATGCAAAATTATTGGCTTACCACTGAACTTTTGCTAGTGATGTGAGTTTTCCAGTATTCTCCTTATTGTATTCCTTTCTTCCTATAAGCAGATGTGTTATAAACTGGACGAGATCTTTTCAGCTTTGTACAGATCTGGGTGTGTGTCTCCAGCCGGTCACTTCTGAACATTCTGTTGCAGGTTTTGCAAGGGAGAAACTTCGAGTTGTCATCGGCCAACTCTGTGAGCTCTACCAGTTGTTGATCTTTGCTTCTTTGAGACGAATTGGAAACCAGTGGTGGAGATGATTCTGTAGACAGTTTTCTTTCTTCTCTTCTTTGGGTTTCTGTGACCATTCTATGAAAAGGGTTAAGAACACTCTTCTTCGGGTGTATGTTCTGCTTATCACCTGAACCATTGGGACTCTTCGGAAGCATCTCTTTGTATTTCTTCTCCCTCGTCCAAGTTGTGTTCCCCAGAAAAGGCTGGTTTTGTTCACTGTGTTTTTCATCTACTTCTTCCCACATTTTGTAATGTTTTTCACCTACTGTTTTTCCTCTCAGGGGCTCTTTTGCATGCAGAGTTATACTTTTCACTCTTTGTTTACTGACTTCCCCACTGGCCTGCTGTACTTCATATGTGTTTCTCATTTGATCTCCAGTCCTGGGATTTTCTTTATTTCTTGATCTGGTAAAGTTGCCATGGCAGTCTTCTTCTTCTATGTCCATAAAGTGAGATATCATGGATTTCTGAGGTTTTTTATGTTTGCTTTCTTCACTGTGTTGCCCCTCAAATCTGCTCTTGAACACATTACCTGTTAGGGTGTCTCCACCGTCATACTGGATTGATTTCCTTATTGTTTGCTCTACCTTCCCCAGCTTCTCCAGCAGTATTTGCTCTTTGGCATAAATTTTTCCATCCATCTCCAGCTCTGCACAGGGCATTCTTTGGGAAGTTTTCCTTGATTCTGTGGTATTTCTGATGACATGAGAATGATCTTTTTCAGGCAAAAAATTGCTCCTTTCTTGTGTTGAAATACAAATTTTCTCAAAATTATCCAAACCAAGAGGGACTTGTTTCCTAGGTGCTCGTCTGTGGATTATAGCCTTGTTTGGAAATGGATGATCCACTCCATCTGCTTTCTTCTTAAAGACAAAATCACACTGTACATCTCCAGAGCTGCACTGGTTTTGAAAGTCATATTGTCTTGTGTAATTCGTCCTGTGTTCATCGCTGTTGAGCATCTTATTCTTGATAATTCCCACTAGATGTTTTGTAAATATCTACAAAAAAGAGGAATCAGATACGATTAAAAAAAATTATTAATATTATCCACTTGACTTTTTACACTTTTAACATTTTAATGATTTCTCATTTTACAACCACAGATGTCAATGGGAATCAATTCAAGAAATATTTCATTAATCTCAGAGGGAAATTATATGTTGTAACTTATATTACACAATTTTCTTCGAAGACTTGTTGACGTTGATGGCTGTTATGATAAATTTTAACTTTGCATCATTATAAATGTAATTACCAGTTTAAAGATAGTAGGATAAAATCAAAAGTTTAAAAGTAAGCTGCAATATTTATTAATAAATAAATAATTAATTATTAATAAAGCAAACTGAAATATAACTTTCAAAAGAGAATTGAAAGAAAATACGTCAGAGTTTAAAGATTAAAAAATACAATATGGACAAACAAGACCATTGAAACAGATGTGTTGGGACTGTTCATCTTCGGACGAACGTTATTTTCGTATTAATGCGATGTCAAATTAAGAAGAATAATCTATTTACTTACCAGTATATTTCAATGTAAGTATGTAAGAGATGTCTCCTCTTTTTCGTCTTTATCCTAGCATATCCTATCCTAACGTACTTCAACGTTTACATATGTTGCCTAGAAACCAGGCGTGTCTCTGATTGGTCCTTAAAAAACGTCACTTCCCGAAATGGAGTCCCGTATGTTTTGAAATCGAGATTGTTCCATGCACTGTGGCTGTTTCATGGTTTGTCAACGTTGGTTTTATTTAACTAAATTGTTGGACCGAGTCCCATCTTCATCCCGGACAGATAAACCTGGCAGAAATAGAAACAAGCTGTGGAAACACAAGGTAATCATGTTAGCCTAGCTTGGTGCCCGCCGTGCTGATGCATTTTGTCATTCATAACGACTCATTTCTCCTTCACAGGTCCGTTATGTCCGGTGAAGGCTTGATTTCGGTGGATTATGAAATCTTTGGCAGGGTGCAAGGAGTATTTTTTCGAAAATACACACAAGTGAGTTTAATATTGATGGGGACTCGTTTGATTTTGTTTTGACAAAGACCAAAACCTAAAACCACGATGACAGTTATCCTGTTTAGTCTTCTGTTTGTATTCCTTAGACGGATTTTGATTAATGCCACTGTCCTTCATGTCAGGTAATTGTGATAGACCTGCTTGTGAAGGGTTAGTTTTTGACTACTGCTTTGTTAGATATAAAACACACACCAATCTATGTTGCAGAACCTCTGCAGAAACCTCAGAAAAATATGATGCGTTCACGCCAAACACGTTTTGAGCGTTGGTTTAAGGCGCGTCGAGGGCCGTTGTCTCAGGCGGCGTGATATGAACCGTTTTTAGTTCAAATCCATGGAATAGACTTGGAACTGTAGCTTCAGACTAGGGAAAAATACAAATGCACAGTTTTCAGATTGGCAAACACTTGCAACAAATTTGCTTTTGAAGAATTCTGAGTTCTTCAAAAATAGGTCAGCGTTTCGACATCCAGAGTCTCATACATGATCAGATCGAAGTAGTTTTTACATTTGGCCTCAAGGGAAAAACAACATCACTTCAGTAGGTACTTCAAACTGGATAATTAACATGAACTCAACATGTTTGGACAGCTTGGATGACCCATTTAATTTGATATCCTGGAGGAAAAAATATCTGGTTATAGTGCAAATTTCCTTTATTGTGGTACAACATTGTACTTTCTGTAATATTCTAACTGCTTGCTCAGCTGTTGCATTGCTTTGCTCATCTATTTTTCTCATCTTTTACCATATTCTCTTTAATTACTGTCCAGGCTGAAGGGACAAAGATTGGCCTAGTTGGATGGGTCCAAAACACAGAAGCGGGAACCGTGAAGGGGCAGCTACAAGGTCCATACAGCAAGGTGGAAAGAATGCAAGAGTGGTTGAAATCTACAGGGAGCCCCAAGTCCCGCATTGACAAGGCCGAGTTCAAGAACAAGAAAACTATTGAGAGCCTAGAGTACTCCTCTTTCAGTATAATCAAATGAAATCAGTTATTTGTTGTCTGTAATATTAATATTTATGCTATTTACTATTTGTAACACGTTGTATTTAAAGCACTAAAGTGAAAATGTATGCATTACATGAACTCCTAAACTTGATCAGATCATATAATTATTTCAAAATGCCTTGAACATGTTTCTCATAGTTAGAACTGCATTGTTCTAAGAAGACGCACCTTGTTGGAGGGGATTTTTAGCAGAACTGGTTGGTGATAGAAATATGTTTGAAGTAGAGATAAACTGATTTATATTAGTAATGTTTGCCTCCTAAATAAAATTTTGTGGTTATTTGCTGCAAGTGTCACAGTGGAAGAAAACATTTTAATTGGAATGCCATTGCCTTCTTTTTGCATAAAAAAGTGTGTGCATGGACACATGGACAGAACTCTGACCATGTCAGAGTTTTGTCAGGTAGGGAAGTGCACAAAAAGTACACATTATTGTGATTAGTATTAAAAAATAAACTGAACTATAATTAAACAGAATAACATTGTAAAATTGTTGGTGAGAAGCATCCTCACCAGCAGTTACATAATTTACACAGTGACCCCAACAGAATAAACCTTCATAAAGGCAAATAAGGTGATGAACAAAGACATCTGGAATGACGTACTTAACTGACATGTTTCACACTTTGGTGATTAAACAAATATTTGGCATGTTTATTTTTGACTGATTTTAGTTTATAGTCAAATGTTGAAAAAAAACAACCTTTGTCTGCTATATCCTCGCTGTATTAAAACAGCACTCACACAACTTAAAAATTGAAATTCCACAAATTTCAGTTTTTGTTGAACAAAATGCCACACACAATATGGCGGCGATGTTCCAGTTTGATGAAGGTGATTGGTTGACGCATGGACGCTAAACTGAAGCCATTTTACAACGAGCCTAAAGGTGGCGGTATTCGATTCAGCTACCGGCTGAAAACTGTTAAAAGTAACGTCTTTTCTGTGCTACGTTGACTGTATACGATAGACAAGGTATTTTCAGTGTTGTTTAAATTTTATTTCAGTGTATTTCCTTTATTAAGTCGCTCAGACTTAGATTTTTTAAAATGTATTTTATTGAAATATCTAGAACTAGTTTGCTTGCTTGCAACGGTTAACTTTAAAAACCCAGACTGTCTCTCGTCTCGTATTTATAAAGTAAACAGCCAGAAATATAAAGAAAAGTAAAACGAAGGAGCATAATGATAAGGTGTTTGCCTGCGGAGCTTCAGGGGAAACTTCGCTCCGGTGTGGCCATCCCGTCCCTCCAGCAGTGCGTGGAGGAGCTCATTTTAAATAGCATCGATGCTGGAGCCACCTGTGTGGGGGTCAGAATGGACATAGAGGCGTTTAAAGTCCAGGTGATCGATAATGGCTCTGGGATGACTGTTGAGGACATGGAGCGAGTGGGAGCCAGATACCACACAAGTAAATGCAGCTGTATTGAAGACTTAGAGAACCTGAAATGTTATGGCTTCAGAGGAGAGGCGTTGGCGAGCATTGTTTCTTTAGCTGCGCTTGTTGAAATCTCCTCCAGGACCAGACTGTCAGTGAAAACTCATGTCAAACTGTTCAAGGATGGACAAGGCATGGGCGTGTTCGAAGCAGAGGCGGTTCGACCCTCCGCAGGGACGACTGTTATCATCTGCAACTTCTTCCACAACATGCCAGTCCGGAGGAAGAGAGTGGATGCAGTCCTGGAGGTTGAGAGGATCAGACAAAGAGTGGAGGCTGTGTCCCTGATGCATCCTTCTATCTCCTTCACCCTGAAGAATGACTACACAGGGGCCATGATGGTGCAGCTTCCCAAAGCCAGAGACACCTACCACCGCTTTGTTCAGATACACAACCTGACTCGGGCAGAGAGACTGGGAGAGATCAGCCACACACACAAGCAGTTCGAGGTGACTGGTTACCTAGGCAAAGAGGGACACTACAACAACAGCCTGCAGTATCTGTACGTGAACGACCGGCTTCTGCTGAAAACACGGATACACAAGCTGCTAAACTGTCTCCTCCGCAGGCTGAGCAGCTCAAACCAGAAGCATGACAGCCCAGATGGGATATCTGCGACCTGGAGTCCAAAACTTAAGCGAAACCAGGAGCAATATGGAGTCTACATAATCAATATAAAATGTTCTTACTCTGAGTATGATGTTTGTCTTGAGCCAGCAAAAACTCTGGTGGAGTTCAAAGACTGGGATGGGGTTTTGCTTTGTGTAGAAGAAGCAGTGAAAGCTTTTCTGAGGAGGGAGAACTTGGTCTCTCTGTTTTCCCAAGAAGACTTGGAATGTGTGTCCCCTAAGGTTTTTAGTACTGAAAGAACAGATCAAAAAGTGGAACCTGAGACAGCTGGCCAAGCAGATATTGGCACTTCCACACTGGACTGCAGCGTTGGAACAAAACTGGCATCTAATTTTGTTCATCGTAGGAGAGCAGATGACAGCGTTTGCCTTGAGTCAGACCTGTTTGAGACCAAAGCTGATGAAGCTCAACGATATAAACAGATGGAGATAGCTTCGAGTGAATGTAAAGAGACACCACAACGGGATCTGGAGCTTGCATCAACTGATATAAACAAAGGCAAGAAAACATTCACCGAAGCCCCTGACAATTTAGACAATCAAAAGAGACGAGACTGTGCAGAAGAAGAAACCCAGCAGAGCACTAGTGAGTCACATTTACCCATCAACCAAATTCCAATGTCTCAGCTTGATTTGAACTTTAATAAACAAATATTGCAGCATCCTGGCAGAAAGATTAGATTGTCTGACCCATATGTTCACCAAAGTCTCTCAATTCAAGATGGATCTCACAGTGACAAGCCTTTGTTTCAAGTTCAAGATTTGGGGCTGAATTGTAAGGAGAAATTAACTGCAGCAAAACGCAAAATGACACTTGAATCAAACAGAAACGTTTCTCCTTTCATCCCTTCAAAGATTTCCAGAGTTATTCCTGTTGAGAAGTTGGTGACATTCAAGCAACCTGGGTCGCTTGATAAGTTTAGACAAACATACAGCAAGTCTGTTAATCTGAGATTTCAGCATCATCAGCCACAGAATGACACCCATTTATTCCAGACATCAAGCTTTGCTAAAAATCCTCATAGTTTGTCTGCTTTTGAAGAAAATAATCAAGATCAAGTTTCAGACTCTCGAGAAGAAGGGCTAGAACAGACCATCTCCTTAAACCCAGCAAAACTCACCGCTAATCACAGAAAAAGTAAAATATCTTTGGCAGCTAAACTTTGTCATTTAAAACAGCATATGACAGAAGATGAAGAACCCTTGCAGGACACTCATTGGAATACTTCAGAGGACAAAAGCAGTCTCACTTTTCCTACAGATGATGCACCATACAGAATTAGCAGTCAGAATCCACTGAACCATAAAGTTCCCATTGACCCTTCATCGGACAGAAGTTGTAAACAACTGGCTGGTGATGAGGGTGACTCGAAGTGTAACGATTGGCTCCATCATTATGATGCATCTGTTGGAAAAACTGTTTATATCAACAAAAAGACTGGTCTCAGCAGATATGAGGAACCGGCTTCAGAGGAAACACAAGCACCTTGTACATCTGATGTCTCCAACATGGCTGTTAGTGTCATCTCTGAGATGGGTGAGTGACTTCTCTCTCTATTGTATTTTAGCAAACGGTGTACGTGCATAAAGGAGAAAGTAAGAATTTTTCAGTAATTTACTGTAATAAGTTATTTTTTGTTTCCCTTTTGTTTAAATTGTAGGTGTGGAATACATGTGTTACCCATTTCAGCTGGATTTAGTGTTGCCTTTCCTGCCTAAATCCGGGCAAGGCAGAGTGATTAGCTCAGGGACTGACTGTAGAGGTACATCACAGACAGATTAATCACTATTCGAGGGGGAGGTGTCTTCACAACTGTTCACTTTTTCACATTTATCACATTACAACCCTGGTGTAGGTTTATCTGGATTTTATCTGATAGACCAACTCAAAATAGTGCAGAATTGTGTAGCAACAGAAAAAAGTTTCATGGTTTGCAGAGTTTTACCAATAAAAATGGAAGAGTAGTGGGTATTCATATTTAGCCCCAGATTACTCTGATACCCCCAAGTAAAATCCAGTGCAACCCCTTAATCTTAAAGCAAAGTTATGTTATGAAACAACATACCAAAGTATAATCGTTTTAAAAAAGGGGGCAGGAACAAAACATGTCTTCAGCAAGACAACAAGATTGTAACAAGAAAGCTTGTTAAAATTTACAGGAAAATGAATGGAACTAAATAGAAAAAGATCCAGCAAAAGAACTGCTAGAGCTTGAGGTGTAAGTTCACCTTTCAGCCGAAAAATGTGTCAGTGGGCTGGTTAAGCTCAAGGCGTAATCAGTATGGCACAGTCAAAGTCCAGACTTCTCAGAATCCAGAATCAATGGCAAAAGCTGAAATTAATGTTAACAGACATTCTTCATACAATCTGACTGAGCTTGAGCTATTTTTAGCCAGATGCGTCAAAAGACTTGCAGCTGTGATTTTGTTAAAAAGCGCATCTACAAATTACTGACTGAGGGATGAATGCAATTTTTTTTGCTCCATTTTTCAGTTTTTTATTTGTAAATTATTTTAAAACCATGCATTATCTGCTATGTGTTGGTCTATTAATAAAATCCTATTAGACTGTGCTCTTATTTGTTGTTGAGAGCAGGAATGTAGTTCATAATATAACAGTTTGTGTTCCCTGTCCTTACAGGCGATGCTGATCAGAGCACCAACTCTCTTTCTGCATTATACTCTAAATGGAAAAATCCAGTGTTTGTCCGCCCACCTACAGTAAGTAAAGCTTGAAGTTTAAGACTTTTGTGGTGATGTTCAAATGTTTAGCTGCTTCCTGCCACTCCAAGGATGCCATAATAAAACTTTGAATAGATTTTATATCTGTTTTGGAACTTGTGTTTTGACTCTCAGGTTGGTGTGGATATATCCAGCGGACAAGCTGATGGACTAGCTGTGAAGATCCATAACATCCTCTTTCAATACCGCTTTTCTAAGAATATGATTCACTCGATGAAGGTGAACTTATTCTTTTGCAACACTTGTGTTTGTTTTATTTGCATTTTATGAAATTAAAATAATTCTTATTTTTCCTATAGGTTGTTAATCAAGTGGATAAAAAGTTTCTTGCCTGCATCATTAATACAAGAGAAGGAGGTTTAGCAGCACAGACTGAAAATGAAGGTATGGATTTTAAACATTTTACCTTCTCTTGGTTTTGTGACAGAGTTTCAAAATAGTGTAATGTTTTTTTTTCCTCTTTTAAAATCACAGGAAACCTTCTGGTGTTGGTGGATCAACATGCAGCACATGAGAGAGTTCGACTTGAAAATTTAGTTGCAGGTAAAAAAAAAAAAGGAAAAAGGCAGACAGTGTTAAATCCTGCTTGTCCACCTGATGTCAGGATCTGGAAAGCAGTGTAATAACTAAAAGTTTTGCTGTAGATTCATATGAAGATGACCCAGATGCCAGCGGGAAGAAACGTCTTTGTTCATCAACCATTTTACCACCTTTGGAGATCAGCGTGACGGAAGAGGAGCTCAGGCTGCTTAGGTGCTCTTTCAATTTTTGTTGCTTTCTAAACCAACCATTGAATATTTTATGACATTATAGCCGCACAATTTAACGTATTTCAAACCTGTATAAATTTCAAAACATTTTAGTCATAAAAAATGTTCACTATGTGCTTTTGTGTTCACTCCTTTATTTATTCTAAACGGAAGAATAATGTAGCAACTGATGTTCTTACTGATGGGAGCACACTGCTTTAATCTTCACCTCCTTTGATGGTTTTGCTTGGTTTTCTTGAAGATCTTCTCAGCCACAGTTGAGGAATTTGGGCCTTGAAGTTACTTTCTCAAAGACAGGAGCTCCGCAGGTGTTTGTGGGAAAGGTACCGCTGTGCTTCATGGAAAAAGAGAGTAATGAGCTCAGGCGGGGCCGACCATCTGTCATCAAGCCAGTTGTTGAGGTAAAAGATCAGATTCAATGTGGTTTATAATAATAAGATCAATAAAAAGGAGTTTTAATGTCCTGTTGTCAACCTTTGTGTTTTTCTCAACTCAGGAGTATCTTCGAGAGCAGACTGAGGTAAAATGACATTGTTTTTATACCTCTTTTACAACATTGTTTTTTTTTTTTTTTATTAATACCCTTAATGAATATGCAGTTTTTTCTTCTGCTGTCCTTTTTAAGTTACTCCGTCTAACAGGCAGAGTCGGAGGAACTTTGCCCCTCACTGTTTTGAAAGTACTTTCCTCACTGGCGTGCCATGGTAAAAAAAACAAAAAAACAAAGAAATTATTATTTTCTTGCCTTGCATTTTTCTAATAATGAGTCTGAAGTATTTTCTCCTAATGCCTGAATCTGCTGAAAAGGTGCCATCAAGTTTAATGACACTCTAAGCCGGGACGAGTGCCACAGCCTGGTCGCATCCTTGTCTTCATGCCAGCTGCCCTTCCAGTGCGCCCACGGCCGTCCCTCCATTGTTCCACTAGTAGACATCCTGCATCTCGACAAGGATCAGAAGGTACCAGAAAGCATTGATAAATCTTTATAAAAAAACTGTGGTTTGATCAGTTATATCACTGAATTATGATTGTGCTTATGCTTATGCTTATGTTCCTGTAGGATTTCCAGAAACCCAACCTGCAGAAGCTAAGAAGAATGTATAGAGCATGGGATCTGTATGGAAATAAATAAAAAAGGTGTGCTTTAAACACGTACCATACTGCAAATATAAAAGCTTTAATATAGTTCAAACCTGGTATATGATATAGTAATAAGTTCTATATCTAAGTCTGTTAACAAAAAGTAGATATGACAGTAAATTGAAATGTAATGCATCATATATGAGCACTACTGTTGCATTCTCCATGTTGGAAAATTTTAGTAATAGCAAAGAACACTTTGCTCAATATGTTTTTCATATGGATGAGCAAATAAAAAACAAAACAATTATAATAATGAACAGGAAAAATATTCAAATCCTTGCTGTTTTTAAAATTTTATGTGATAGATCAATGCAAAGTGGGGACCAATTGTAAAGTGGAAGGAAAGTGATGCATGGTTTTGATTTTTTTTTTCTTTTATTACAAATAAAAATGTGAACTGGCATGCATATGTATTCAGGCAGTAAGACATTATTTCCAGAAGTCAAAAGAATTAGGAAGACAAGGATTTAAAGGTTTGTCTCCACCAGCTTTGCACATCTAAAGATATAAATTTTACATGTTCTTTGCTAAGCAAGTCTTTCACCTTGGATTGTACTGTGTTCAAAAGGTTGAATATTTTTCATTAACTTGAACTTCCCTTGTGGTGGGGAAGTTCAAGTTAATGAAAAACAAGCTGAGGAGATCTTTACTGAACAGCTGCTTTTATACTGAGATTCAATTACGCACGGATGGCTTTTATTGACTAATTAACTGACTTCTGCAGAGCAGAGGGGGTGAATACAAATGCATGCCACACTTTTAAGATATACTTTGTGTCGGCTTATCACTCGACTTCCCAAGACCTATGGTGAAGTTAGTAGTTGTACTGTGGCAAACTGTGGTCTGAATAGTTGTGCAAATCACTGCCATGGTGCAACACTTGTGATGGGGAGGGGAAAAAAAAGAAGCTTCAGTCGTTTTCAATGTCCTAGTGGACAATGTCCTCGAGATTTTCAATTTTCGAGGCATCCGGCCACAAAAATCTTAGAGATGCAGATGTTCCTATGGGAGGAAAGGATGTTGCTGCTCCATGAGATCCTCCACTTCTAAATCATCCTCCCCAGTTCCGGGTCATGTCACATGACTTCACAGCCCCCCCAACACAAAAAGTGCAAGTGGACAAAGTGGGCACGACGCTTTGCTGTGTTTGGCGGTCAGGGGTAAAACGGTGTTGGTAGAGTCGGTCGGTCCTTACCGCCGATCTCATCTATTGTTTTCATTTTACCTGCGATGTAAACAGTTGGAAGATATTGCATTAAAAAAAAAAACAATTCCTAAAAATATGTACTATTTCATAAGACGAAAGAGGCGACACAGAACCGTGTATTGTAGCGATGACGATATATTTCTTTCTTTCTGCCGCTAAGAAATAAATATATTTTTGGAAAATTGTGCAAAAATACATCAACTGCATCTGAACCACTCGGTCACTGCAAAACATATAATTAAATGAATGCGCGCATTCTTCATTGCGTGGCAACTATTGGTGGAATTGCGCCTCTTAACTCCATATGACCGATATTGTAATTATTCTCGGGATGAATTTGCCTTTTGCCGTCTGCTGTATGTCACAGTGATGCTCCTTTTTTTCTGAGCATGCAGGCCTGTGTGTTTGAGTCCGCCCCCCCTCCCCTCGATGGTACAGTCCTGGTTCATTCATAAAATTCTAGCAGGGCTTAATAGGAGGGGCTTCCATTCAAGTCATCCAGTTACCAGGTATATACCTGGAGAAAGACGCGCTCTCTGCCCAGCGGAAGTTCTATATATGTAAAAATATACATATTTGTCATTGAGCAGGACTCGTGTTGCGTTTTATTATTTTTGTTTTGTTTTGTTTATTCACTCTGATGTATAAAAACAAGCAGACGCCTGATATGGATGCAGCGTCTCCAGCCTTGCGGACAGAGTCTCCTGTCGGGACGCTCCGGCAGAAGACGCCAGAAGAGGCGAGCTCTCCGGCGTCATCCTCGGAGAGCGGAGCCAAGGTATGAATGGCTTTGTTCATCATGTACATCAGTTTTATGGCGGCAGCAGGAGGAGGAGGAGGCGCGTTTACAAGCATATAAAACCGATTTTAATGAGATCCACATAAAAAAAAAAACCCGGCGCCCTGATGCTTGCATGTTTTAATCTTCGAGATGGTGGTTGGGGAGGGGAGGTGATTGATGGGATTTTTAATTAATTTGGATGCGCTAAAAATGTCAGCATTATATTTTGACGCATTGATTGAAACAATCCATGTGCAGAAGATGATTGGGCTGTATATGGCGCGTTGTTGTTGTGGTTCCGACGTCCTGGGACCAATTGTGAGCGTGTCGATGCAGCGGTTCATTGAGAAAAAAATAAATCCATTCAGGAGACTCCTCAGCAGCTTTGCGTCAGTGTTGACGTCAGGAACAATGATAAAGTCAAATATTGATCCGGAGAAGGCTATTTCTGGTGAGAGCTATGTCAAAACAATACAACATCCAGGGCACCCTGCGTCTTCTGATCATATTGTAGGTTTTATTGGTGGAAATAAGATCCTTAAAAAAAAAAAAAAAAAAGGGAGGAACATCAGTAATCTTTTGTCAATTTCATGTTTTTCAGGAGGTCAGCCAGGACATGAGTGCTGAGGACAATCCATTTGTACCGACAGTTACAGCAATATCCTCCACCCCAGATTTCCAGTGGATGGTCCAGCCTACGATTATTACATCTGTCTCCCCGTCTCTGGGCAGCAAGCAAGCCAATGAACCGCAAAGCTCTCACCAGGCAACACCCAAAGCAGGCGGGAGCAAGGGAAAAAATGCTGCCAGAAAGGGAAAAACAGAGCAGGTGAGACTAGCTCAGATTAAACCAATTTGCAGTCTAACAGAGAAAAAAAGGCAGAAATGTGAATTATACGTGATGATGAGTTCCTTGTGCTCATCAGTGCTGTTGTGTGCGCACTCCTCGACGGCTGTTTGCCCTCCTTAGGATGTCAATTTAAATTCAGGTCACAGTAAGTCTGCAACAATGATCTATTTTTAGACGCATTGCAGCGAAACATGCTTTTGCCTATTTTTCTTTGCTTTTTTTCACAGCTGTAAGTGAGAATGGATGGAGTGGATAAGGAGATGCAGGTAGTGACTGAATCATTTCTTTCCTTCTCCAGTTGTCTCCAGAGGAGGAGGAGAAGAAGAGGATAAGAAGGGAGAGGAATAAAATGGCTGCAGCAAAGTGTCGCAACAGACGGAGGGAGCTCACAGATACACTGCAAGCTGTAAGTAAACAGTGAGGCATTTACTCAGCTGTCATTTGCACTTACTGCTGCACGTTTGTCCACGTGGATGATTTTGGATGTCGATCTTTCTGAAGGAGACTGACAAGCTGGAGGAGGAAAAAGCAGCCCTGGAGACGGAAATAGCCAACCTGCTCAAAGAGAAGGAGCGCCTCGAGTTTATCCTCGCCACACATAAATCAGTATGCCAGATCCCAGAGGAGCTGGAGTCCATTTTACAGGCTTCGGTGAGCTCCCCAGAGCTGCCGCCCAGTCCAGATGAGGACAGACTTCAGGATGAAGGCATCCAGGAAGCTCCTTCACTCCAGGACATGGACATCCCCAGTGATCCATCCACAGCCATCTCTGGGAACTCCAATATCTTGCTGTGCGCCAACGCTGAAATCAACATCTCCGATCTGGAGCCCTCCCTGGACATTAAGGAGGGGCTACTAGACAATATCCTACCTAGTCTGGAGGACAGAATCCCCATGGAGACGGCTCGATCAGTGCCAGACATAGATCTGAGCAGCTCCCTCGGCGTCTCGGACTGGGAGACCCTGTATAAGTCTGTCTCCTGTGACCTGGAGCCTCTCAGTACTCCGGTGGTGACCTCCACCCCCACCTGCAGCAGCTACCTGTCTGTGTTCACGTTTGCGTGTCCCGAGCTGGACTCTCTGGCGGAGGAGGGACTGGACGGCCTCAAAGGTGGTCTGAGCAAGGCTGAATCCGTTGATATTCTGAACTCGCCAACGCTTCTTGCCTTATAATCCACAGAGAGAGGGACGAGATCTGCCGGATCTCTGCTTTTGTTTTTTGGTTTTCAGGTACCTGACTTTACAATGAAATCAACAACATATGCCCAGATATGCTGTAACTGTTCAAGGAATACCTAAATGAATTGTCTTGTGTTTGACTGAGTATGCATATAAACTTTGTCCTGATACTTAGCCAACAGAGTGATGTAGCTAAAAGCATGGCTGTTAATTCAACAAGAGGGACTGTCGATTTGGTTTTAAAAACGCATGCAGAGAAAATCCAAATAATTTTCAAAGCTTATCTATAGGTATTCATGATCTGTTAATAGATCTAAAGTGTACTGTGCAACTTAATGTATCTGTATGGTGATTTTTTGTGCCAAAAGTGTATTGATCGCTGTATGCATTTACATATTCATCCATACCTCAATGTCATCAGCTGTGCTTTGACCTCATCGTTGAAATGTTGAAAGTTTTCCATGAAAACATCCAGTGCTATACACTATATATTGATATATATGTATTATATATATTGAGATGTAACTTTTATTTATTTTTTTACCTTTCAGATTTTGACTTATTTGTCAACATTGAAAAAAAGAGAGCATTGATTGCTTATCTATGCTGCTGACCAATAATAATAAATCTATGTTCCCAATGGTGTTTGCTGATGTTGAGAATTTTTTTTATTAATAATTTTGACCTTTGTTTTTCAGAAAGAATTAGACTTAAATTCTACAAATCAACTGCAAATGTGAATATGAAAGTGCAAGTAAGACTAAGTACCTTAGAAAGGTCTTTATGTCCCTTTAACATTTTATCACCCTGCAAACATAACTAATTGCACTTACTGGAATTTTATAGAAAAAGAGAAACAAGCTAACAAAAGAGTGAACTGAATATTCAACTCCATTTGAGTCAAAAGGTATAAATAATTGTACATTTAAGGATGGAAATGTGAGGGTTAAGTGTCAGGTAATGTGGAAATAATTTAAGTTTATGTGGTATTTGGAGATTTATATGTTTGTAAGTCAAGCATGATAGGGGCAGGAAATCATAAGATCTTGGGTCTTTTATCTGCTCCATTCTGAACAGATAATGTGAAATTGCATGTCAATTGAGCATGTTAATTAGTTTGATTTTTTTTTTACTTTTTATCTTTATATTTTAGCTAAAGGTACAGCTACAAATCTGGAGGGTATGCCTGTACCAATTTGAGAGGAGTGTGGTTTGAAGCAAAAATGTCTCCTGACTTAAACGTAAGTCCAGCAAAACCACATAAACGTCTACAGTCTTCTGCTGCTGCACAGAAAATCAATACTGAGGAAAATAAATGGCACTCCTTGGGTGCTTTGTGAACTGAAACCAGCAGTAAGTATCGTTGTGTTTTGGTGTATTCCTAAACTGCTTTTTTTTATTTTTTATTTTTAAAAACACTGTGAAAAGGCAAGTTGTCCACAAATAATTACAAAAAGAGATGTAAATTGCTGAATCTCGGAAAAGATAGGGGTCATAAGGGAAGTGCTGAACTTTTCTCCAAAATGGCTTCCTTTTACACGTGTTAACAATAGAGCCCCTTTTTACATGAGCAAAAACAGATTCTTAGTTTTGTTCTGCCTTTTTCCTCCCCAGTGTGGCGTGCCACCCTGAGCAGAAAGCCACACTGTCTACTGCAGCGCCACCAGGTGTTCAAAACTTGAGATCTGGTTGAAATAAAATCTTCTTAAGATACTCAAGTTTCTGGTTGCAACAATGACGAAATCTTCCAAAACAGGGAGTGAACAAGTCTTAGAAACTGTGTAGCCTGAGCTGCAATGGTTTCACCGCAAAAACAGTAGTGCAGCCAGTTTCTTAATGGGAGGAGCGGTTGCTACTTCCCCTCTTCCAGTCCCCCTCCTCCAAACCCCCCTCCCCACCCTCTCTGCATTATGTCTACTTTTTTTTAACATCCCTGCTTACGTTTGCCTGGCATCGCTTAATTTCCGCATTCCCAAATCCTCCCAGATTGGGATCACGTTTAAAGTCGGGCTGATGCAACGGTTTCCACTTTTTAAAATCTACTCCCGACCCTCGGCCGACCAGAAGAGAGGACATTTGTTGCACCTGGGATCAAAGTCAGGTCGGTAAAAGAAAACTTCCTATAAATAAAAAAAACAAAAAAACAAAAGCAGAGAAAGAGGAGAGCTGAATGTTTCCCTGCGCACGCTGAGCCGCTGAGCCGCTGCTGCTTGGCGCGCCGCGCCGCGTCGCACCGCGCCGCGGATCGGCTGCACCGACAGCCAGCAGCTCTGATGTTCTCGGTTATTCAGCGGCTTTTATTGCTTTCCCCAAACTGCGGTGTTCAAAGTCGACCCGACTTCTTGCAGATCTTTGCCTCTCTTTTCCTTTTTCGCTTTGCATGCTGTGTTTTTTTTTAAACTTGAATCACAGCGTGCAGCAATCCAGAACAGAATGTTCTCATTAATGCCACGCAGTGATGCTTAAAACACATTTGATCTGTTGCCATCCTGCACTGAAAAACGCCGCGGCAGGTAATTGTAGGTGTTTGATAGAAAGACAAAGTTACATAAGATGAACGCCAGCGCTGAAAAAAAGAGACTTCCGCTTTCAAGTTGACCAATTCCGCAGCGGGGTATGCACGCAATGTGATCTTCCAGGTGGTGACTACACATGTAGCATGAAATAAGATGGGGGCTTTCCCAGGAAAAAGAATGTCTTAAAGCAACTAGAGCACTGAAATATGAATAACTGCCTTTGAATTTTCAGGAATAGTCTCAATGAAGGATGCTAAAAGCTAAAACAACACTGCGTGCATCCAGTACAGTAAACCATTAGAACAGATCTGTATGTGGCTTCACTTCAAACCAATGGTAACTTTTATTAAAAGGCTTCTATCTTTTGACCTTTTGCATATTTTGAGAGGAGTGTGGTTCTAAGCAAAAATGTCCAGCACAGTTCTACTTTCTCTTTTGGTCATAAGGGAAGTGCTGAACTGCAAGTTGTATATTTCCATCTATGATGCACAAGTGACCCACAAGTTTATCTCTCTTCACAAACCTTCAAATAAACCAGGCATTGTGCTTTATAGAAACAAATAATGCATCTTTAAGTTTTTCACATTACAGCCACAACGTTCTGTGTGTTTTATTGGAACAGAGCAGGAGAAGTTTGTGTAAAACTGAATTGGATATGTATTGAAATTTGTATAGTGCTATGAATTCAGTCCCCTTTAATTTGATATCACATAAATTCCAGTATAAACAATGTAGCATTGGCCTGTTAAAAAAATTAATTCAGTAACTTTAGTTATTTATATTTATTGATCTAAATGCAAAACACTAACACAGACTGATTATTACCTTGATTCTGGAAGGAAACTTGTTCCAGCAGGACCAAAAGGACTCAATACAAATACAATCACATTTGTCTGATTTTTATTTTTAAAATTATTTGAAAATCCTGCATTTTTTGTCTTTCTACTTGACACTTCTGCATTTAATTGTTTCAGCCTTATCACAGGGATGGTAACTCCAGTCCTGGAGGGCTGATGTTCAGCAACTTTTTAATGTCTGCTGCTTCAACACATATTAGTCAATTGATTTCAAAATTAGCAGGACTGTTGAAGACCTGACTGCATACTTACATTTCTGAGCTAGCCTATTAAGACAGAAGAGACCGTCTTCACTCCTTAGCTTCTGAATCAAATGGAAGATGATGGGTGGATGGTGACCTTCTTCATCTCTGTCCTTACAGACTGTCAGGTGTGTCAGGACATCACCGGGTTCCTGATGTTGCCAGTTTATCCTGCAGTGTGGGATTAAATCTGTGTAAATTGACTTCAACCCTGTTTTATTTTGACGTTGACATGTCCCTTGGAAATCCACTCAGGTGGTGCTAATTTCCTGTGTGTTTTGCCTGATTTGGTCCACACTGCTCCAGCAGCTCGGTTTCATGTTCTTGAACATTTTAACACCTATTTAACTTTTCACTGCCACATTTTTTTTTTTTTTGCCACCAATGACAAGAAAACTTGTTTTCAGTGCACAACTCAAACACCCACTCACCATCTTCTTTTTTAACACAGCAAATCATTTTAGGTTATTTTAACCACATTATGCTCGTCTCAGGCATCCACATTCCTCTCTGCTTACATTAAGTCTCATAAAGAGGAAACCACAGTTAACTGGTATTTCTTGGCTTGCCTTTGGCTCTCCTTGGAATAAGGAGGAATTTGTTTGAGTCTCGTTATGCATCGTTATTCATTCTTCTTTTCATCTCTTGGGATTAAATGAGGCAACTTTCTGCCAAGGTCTTGTGAATGGTTATACATTAATCCCCTCCCCTCTTCCAAAATCAGGGAAATAATAATAACTGAACAGCAGCCTCCGCATCCTGCTTCTCTAACAGACTAGTTATTCATCACTGAGAGGTGAATCAAGCAGCCTAAATGCAACTTTCTCAAAGCTGTTAGACATACTGTTCAAATTAAATGCATTTTCGCTTCATTTTCAAGAATTTGACATTTTATACTTGAATACAGTTTGTTATTTGAAATGGACAAAAATCTGATTTGGAGTGAAGGAAGCCTGTTGTAAACTTGTATATTATGCACTTAATATCTGTTGCCTAAATAACAAATATTAAGAGCAGTGGGAATACATATTTAAAGGCGCAAAATGAGAAAAATCCATTTCTCCACCACTGGCTTTTCACTGCATGTATTCTGACAACTTGAGGTCACATTTGAATCCCTCCTGAAAAAAAACCAAAGAAACAATGCCAGTTTTTATAATGGTAAAATCAAGAGGGTTCATTTAGGGTTGTTTACATTTACAAAACCATAATCTATGATGGTATAAAGCTGAGTAAGTACCCATGACGCTATCTTTTAAATTTATCTCTGATATAGAGGTTTATACCAGACTTTCAGACAAGCATAAAAACATCTGAAATCATTTTGTAGGATAATGACTGGCATTTTATAACAGTGTGCTTGGACACTGTTATAAAATGCATGGGGGTTGTTTATTGGAAATATAAAATACATCATAAAACTGTTGAGCAGCTTAAAATTTCTATTCACCAATAATAATCATGAGTTCTTTGTGGAAGAATAAAATCTTATGAAGAAAGTATAATTCAATGGAATCTTTACTGGTGTTTAAAGGCATTAAACATAATACAGTTCTTCTCCAAATGTATTACTGATTAAAGTATGATTTGATTCCTTTTGAGTGTCCACTTTTATTGTTAAAAATATCTTGGTTGTCTGCTCTCATGCAGCTGTAAAAATAACAGCATTTTGGGGGTTTTATGTTTTTCTTGCATCTGATCGTTTCTCCCACTTTCCTCCTTTGCCTCCCGTAGCTGTGGTCAAGGCCGAGCCTGACGCAATGCCGGGACAAATCCCAGATCCCTCTGTGACAGCGGGCTCCCTGCCCAGCCTGGGCCCGCTGGCTGGGATCTCCGCCACCACGCTGACGGACAAGCTGAGGTTTGGCGATCTCCACGACATCGGAACAATGTTGTCACCCCTGCTTTTCCTGGACACTCTGGGAAAGAGGCCTGTAGTCATCAAAACTGAGGTACCAGACCATCTGAGCGACTTTTGCCTTTACAGATTTTCTGATGTGTTTGTACTAATTTCAACCCCTGAAAGTA